TGTGACCTAACACATGATTTCACGTTGGAAAAGGATTCCTGTGTGCTTGAAAAGAATGTGTTTTCTGTTGCTGTTTGAGTTGTGTGTTCATTTTTTTAAAAATATTTATTTTTTAGTTGTACCCAATAACTTTATTTTGTTTATTTATTTTTATGCGGTGTTGAAGATCAAACCCAGGGCCTTGTGCATGCTAGGCGAGCATTCTACCGCTGAGCCACAATCCCAGCCAAATGGTGTGTTCTTTATGTTTTGGAGTATCCATTTGTCCATAGTATTACTTAAGTCATCTGTTTCCTTATGAACTTCTGTCTGAGTGTTTTGTCCATTATTAAGGTTAGGGTATTGAAGACTTCTATTATTCTTTCCATCTTATTTCTCCCTTCAGTTAGTTCTATTGCTTTGTACATTTAGGTGCTTTGATGTTGTGGGCATGTATGATTGTATTGAGTCTTTCTGGTGTATTGATTATTTTGTCATTATGGTATGTACTTTTAAAAATAATTCTTTGTATCTTGTGTCAGGTTTTGAAATAAGTATAGATACCCACTGTTTTTGGATTATCGTTTGATAGAACACATTCTTCCTATCTCTTTACTTTCAGCCTTTTTTTTTTTTCTTTTCCTATGCAGTGCTGGGGATAGAACTTAGGGCCTTATGTGTGCTAGGCAAGTGCTCTACTCCTGAGCTGCAACCCCAGCACAACTTTCAGCCTGTATATATCCTTAAGTCTAAAGCAAGTTTCTTGTAAGCAGCATATAGCTAGGTTTTTTTCCCCCATTCAACCACTCTGTACCTTTTTTTAGGGAATCTAATCCATTTTATTATAAAATAATTATTGATAGGGAAGGATTTACAATTTTCATTTTGTTGTTTTCTGTTAGTCTTTTAGTTGTTTTTATTTTTTGCCATTTTCATTATTTCTATCTTCCTTTGTATTTTATGATTTTTGATATTGACAGGTATTGACTTCTTTTTATAAGTTCAATAGGTATTTTGTATTCTTTCTTTATTAAATTATAGTCAGAATACCTTAGAGGTATAGACATCCAAAGAATGTCTTGTCCTTTTAGCATTATCTAATGTCAATGTTTTGTTTCCAAGCCAAAGTTAGGCAGGAGGATAGTAAGTCTTCTCCGCCCCCCACCCCCATTCCCCAGTGTCTGTAGTATATTTTTGAAGCTATTCATTCATGATGGTTTTACAGATTTGGAGAGTACATCCAAATATAATAATAAACAGGTCAGTTTCCTGAAAGTTTTGGTGATAAGATAATTCAAGAACTGAAGGCATTATAGGAAGAATACAATAAGGGGCTGATGTTCAGAATTTTTCTTTGAAAGCTCTTATGTTTTAACACTTAGTAAAATAGAAAATTCTAATTTTACACTTTAATATCTATTATTATCATTCATCTTTATGTTATGCAGTCAGTACTGTTCTCAATATAAATGCAAGAATATTTTATTCATGTGGAATCACTGAAATTATACAATTCATATTTAGTAGTTCATACATACATATATGTGTGTGTGTGTGTGTGTGTGTGTGTGTGTGTGTATGTATGTATTTGTTCTACCAGAATAGTGAAAATGCTGCCTAAAATTAACTCAACAGTTCTTAAGCAGTTTTGTTCATAGGCTTAACATACTTTACAGTTCACTCAATTTTGTAGTTTTTAGTATAGTCACAGTGTTGTTTAGTTTACCACAATCCTTCAACATTTTCTTTATCTCGAAAACAAACTGTCTACCTGTTAGCAGTCATTTTCTATTCCTCCTCATTCTCTTTCCTGTAAGCTTCAGCAACCCTAATATACTTTTCGCCTAGATTTGCTTGTCTAGATTTGCATATTCTGGTTGTGTCATATAAATTGAATCGTGTAATATATAATTTTTTAATATCTAATTTCTTTTAATTAGCATTTTTCAAGGTTCTGTCAAATTGAAGCATATATCAGACTGAATTCTTTTTTTTTAAGAGAGAGAGAGAATTTTTTTTAATATTTATTTTTTAGTTTTCTGCACACATAACATCTTTGTTTGTATGTGGTGCTAAGGATGAACCCGGGCTGCATGCATGCCAGGTGAGTCCGCTACTGCTTGAGCCACATCCCCAGCCCAGACTGAATTCTTTTTTATGGTCAAAATCTATTCCGTTATTTGGATATATTACATTTTGTTCACTCAGTTATTATAGACCTTTGGGTTGTTTCTACTTTTTGGCTTTTATGAAAATGCTAAGACCATTCGTGTACAAGTTTTTGAGTGGAAATCCATTTTCATTTCTCTTGGGCATATATGGAGGAGTGGACACGTTGGGTCATATGGAAACTCTATATTTTATTTAGAGGAACTATCAACCTGTTTTCCACAGTTATGAAACCACTTCACATTCCTGTCATCAATGTTGAGATTTCTTCATATCTTCATTTTACTTGTCATTTTGGTTTGAATTATAATGATCTTAGTGAGTGTGACATGGTCTCTCATTGTCATTTTTGTATGCATTTTCCTGATAACTCATTCTGTTGAACATCTTTTTTATGTGCTTATTATTTGTGTATTTTCTTTGGAGAAATGTTTATTCAGATCCTTGTCCATTCTTAAGTTGGTTTATTATTATTATTGAGTTGGAAGAATTATTTGTATATTCTAGATACAAGACCCATCTCAGATATAAAACTTGCAAATATTTTCTCCTTTGAGTCATCTTTTCACTTTTTAATTGTAGGACAAAGGTTCTTACTTGTTTTGAAGTTAAATTATGTATGTTTAAAAATTTTGTTATTTGTATTTTTAAAAAACATTTTTAGTTATAGATGGACACAATACCTTTATTTATTTTTTTTGTGATTCTGAAGATCAAACCCAGTACTTTACACTTGATAGGCAAGTGCTCTACCACTGAGTGACAACCTCAGATCTATCATTAGTATTTTTTATGTGATATGTAAGAAGGCCTTGCCAACTCAGGATCATGAATATTTACTTTTTTTCTAAGTATGTTATAGTTTTAGCTGTTACATTTGACTTTAGACTCCATTACAGTTTATTTCTATGTATAATTTAGGAAAGAACTTCATTCTTTTTCAAATGGGTATCCAGTTTTTCAAGTATCATTTGTTAAAAAGGCTATTCTTTCCCTCAATGAATTGTCTCAACATTCTTGTTGAAAATCAGTTGACCATAGTAAATATAAGGGTTCAGTTCTGTTTCATTGATCTGTGTGTCTGTCATTGTACTAGTACCACACTGTCTTGATCACTGTAGCTTTGTAGTAAGTTTAAAATTTGGAATTGTAAGTCCACCAATTTTGTTCTTTCCATGATTGGTAATTCTGGATTAGTTGGATTTTTTTGTGTGAATTTATGATAAACTTGTCAATTTCTGCAGGAAAGCAAGAACTAGAGTGTGTTGAATATGTAGATCAATTTGGGAGTTATTATCATCCCAAGGATATTAAATTCTCTGATCCATGAACGTGGATTTCTTTCCATACTCAGAAATTCTATGTCCTTCAACATTATCTTGTAGCATACAGAGTACAATTTTATTCTGCCCAGGACTTCTCATGCTTCCCTTTTACCTGTTCCTTTTTCTTCTCAAGACAGGCCATAGAAACTAGAATTTCTTTTCCCTATGGTGTAATGGAAACTCTTTCCCCACCTTTCTCCATGTTGGCCATAAAGAATTTCTCTGACCTATCTTGTCTGATGGTAAAACATAAGACCTGTGTTTTGGAAGAGATCCTGTCCCATACGTATGAGGAAAGAATGCTGCACTCAGAGGTCAAGAAGGATCTGAACAGACAGTCACAACAGGCCTTGTTAGTTTCCCCTATGAGTCTATTGATGATTTGTTCAGTCACGTTTTTGCATATCTTTCACGCTTCAATCATGATCATGCAATGGAATCTTTATAAGTATCCCAAAAGACATGGTTCAGGGAACTTTGGGACAGCTGAATACCTAGAGACTTATAGGATGTAAACTAGAACTCATCACGTGCCAGGAGGGTGGCACACCCCAACTCCACATGGTTGGAAATGTCTGTGCTTGGGACCCTTTCAGACTTTGTCCTCTTTATCTGGCTATTTATTTGTGTATCCTTTATAAGAAACTGATAAACAAGTAAGTGCTTCTCCGAGTTCTGTGAGGTCTTCTAGCAAATTAATCAAACCCAAAAGTGTGGGTGTATTTGTACACAAGGTGTGTGTATATGAATGTGTCTACACCTTAGTTGGTAGCTGGTTGGTCAGAAGTTCTGGAGGCCTGGACATGTGAGTGGCATCTAAAGTGAGGACAGTCTGGTGGGATTGAGCCCTCAACCTGTGGAATAACTACCTCCAGGTAGATGGTGTCTGAACTGAATTGATTTGAATGCCCAATTCACTTGAATTGTTGTCTGCTGTAGAGTTCCTCTTGCGTGAGGGTGGGGAGAAATCCCTGTACATTGGAATCACAAAAGTCTTTGTGTTGATTATTGTTGAGTAAGAGTGTAGGGGAAACAGAGTTAGAGTTAATTTTTCTTCTATATCATCAGAATGGACAGAAACTTCAACTCACTGGGCAAATACTAAAGAATGAGATTGCCGAATTGTATTGTAAGATTATGTTTAACTTTGTGTGGAACTACAAAGTTAGTATGTAACTAAGTTCTTTGTATGGAAGACCATCTGATGGTCTTCCAAAGTGGCAAATCTCACCGGTGGTCAGTGAAAGTTCCTGTTGCTCCACATGCTTACCGGCATTTGATGTTGTCAGGCTGCTCAGCTTTTTTTTCTCCTTCCTTAGGTAACGAAGACTGGAGCTGGAGTTGTACGTTTCCTTTTCCCTAAATTGGTTAGGCTATTGTAATCCCCAAATAGGTTGGGCTGTGAGTAAAAATTGTTTTCCTTGAGGGCAGACCATTCATAAGGCTAACATGAAGCTCTGGGCATATTCAAAATGGTTATTTCCTCCTGCCCCTGTAGGAAGAATGAAGGGACACTCTCCTCATCCCCATATCCTTACCCTGAGAACCTGGCTGAGTTCGTTGGAACTCAAAGGATGGCAGTCCTCTTCACACTGGACTTTTGGAGTTTCTAAGTCTTCACCCAGCCCACGCTGATCCTGCAGTGGCACATCAATGGCAGCTTAGAGATCCTGCTGGGACTGGTGCAGCAGACACAGGTATAGGACTTTGTTTCCAGTTTCTGGTGCAGCAGTTTGTCCTGGGATCTCAATTTTCTCATGGCCCTAAGAAGAGCTGGTGATTTTCAATTTGTTCAGCCTTTTCTTGTTGTGAAGGTGGAGTGATGACTTCAAGATCTTTTTGTGTTCTTGAAAGGAGAAATCACTGTTATCTTTTTGGCCTTTAAGTCTTTGGTTTACCTGAGAAATTCTTTTTGTGAATAGTATTTATGGTATAATTTAGATTAAAAATATTATATTCTGTGTGGTGACTTCCCTTGACTTCATCATTTGGTGGCTGCTTAAGAATATATCTGATATCTAGTCTCTGCATAGGTTTAATCCAAAGGAGTTATTTTAGGACTTTTTTTTTTAATATTTATTTTTTTAGTTTCCGGCGGACACAACATCTTTGTATGTGGTGCTGAGGATCCATCCCGGGCTGCACGCATGCCAGGCGAGTGCGCTACCTCTTGAGCCACATCCCCAGCCCTATTTTAGGACTTTTTGAAGTTGATTCTTATTTAATTTTAAATAACAGGTTTTGGTTAGCATGGTGAATATTAGTTTAATGTTTTTTTCTTAACTAATTTTTAGTTGTAGATGAACACAACACCTTTATTTTATTTATGCATGCTAGCCAAGTGCTCTGCCACTAAGCCACAACCCCAGCCCTAATTTTTCTTTTTAAATATAAGATATGTGATCATGAGGGGTGGTATCTTTTATTTATTTATTTTTTAACATTAAGCTGTTTAGAATGATCTGTTTCTTAATCTTGTTAAGATTTCTTTTTATGGTGCACAGTTTTTTTTTTTTTTAAGAGAAAGGAATTTTATTATGTGGTAATTTTTAAAAACAATGTTAACCTGTAAGTGAAGGAATGGTAGGTAAGTCTTTGAAGGATTACTTGAAAATGTGTAAGAGTTTAGTTTATGTGATAAATCAAGTAGGATAGAAGACCTTAAGAAAAGTAAGGCTTCCCATCCATAACCAGTCTCTTATTTTTCTTCTAGATTTTCCCAAATCACTTCTGTAATACATATAGGAAGTAAGAATTTTTAAGTAATATTATTTGTTTTACCAACACTTAACAGTATGTATTGACTTCCCACACAAGACCTTGAGGATTTGGCTACTAGCTTTTGATAGAACTTACACTACTGGTAAATATTTATACCACTGCCCTTCTTCCACTTCCTCTATGTTTATTTTTGTTATTCTTTGTTGTTCTTTTGGTTGCCCTTCTAAGACAGAGCTAAATCTTTATTTCATGTTGTATCAATTTACTACAAAGGTATGACTGATGAGTGCTTCTTGTTCTTATATTCTCTAGTGGTGGCTTTTATTACTAATTGTGGTAATAATGCTGACCTAAATATTTAATAATGGAAGTATGGTGTTTAATTTCCCACTACTTAAGATAAAGCTACAATGAAAATTTTAATGCATGTAGCTTTTTTCTTCTTAAGGTAAGATCACTGAATCAGGGTGCATATTGTTTCTTTGCTTTCTAATAGGGTTATGGAAAAAAATTTTATTTTATTCATATTAAAAATAGCATTGTTCTTCCCTTCATTATATAAATAATAGTCCTTACTGTTATCAGTTGAGTTTATTCCGAAGTAGAGGACAGAGAAGATAAAAGAGAAAAAATATTTTGAAGTGTTACCACTTTGAAATATGTACCATTGTTTTATTTCTCTGTGTGTATTTACACAATCTAAATCATGGTATGTTGGTCACATTGTGTGTGTGATGTTTCTGTGTACAAGTGTCCAGTTTTCTCCTGTTACTTTTGACTTACAGTCATGCCCTGTGTATATTCCCATTTTTAACCATCTTTGCAGGTGACCAGGAGGAAGAGCAGTCCTTCTGGTTTTGTTACTAGCTGTAAATGTTCTACAGCAGGTGTAACTGGCTGTAGAAGGCTAAATCTTCTAAACTTATTTTTTTCATTTAAATCAGTAATCCACCTGACACTTGTTTTTATTATATATATATATATATATAATATATGTTTTCATGAAACATCTAACAGAAATCAATCATGGTAAAATGTGGAAGAGGAGTGGGGGTGGTGTGGGCTTTTGGAAAGGAGGAGTTTGGGTGGACTGGCTGTGATTGGGATGTAGAGTCCCTGGATAATGAATGATGCTTACCACTTGCTGCTTGGTCTCTAGCTCCTCTCAAGAGATGCCTGTCTTTTTCCTGTTTTTCTGGAGTATGGTCTCAGAAGGGACACAAGGGACTTTTTGTTGATGACTAAAAAAGATATCTAGAATTCGAACTTCAACAAAAAGCAACAATGTGTAATACTGTAGATGACATTAATGGCCTTGAAATTTGCTGTGATAATCCTGAAAAATGGAGTTTTTACCCCTTGGAAGGGTTTTGATGTTTTATCTGTTTGTGAGGAAGTATTATTGTTTTACCTTATTGGAACACATATTGAAAGATAAAGTGCAATTTATGATAGCAGTTTGATAACTGTTACAAGAGTAGATATTAGCAAGTGTTTTGTATCCAAATTAACTGTTCTTAGATAAGACATTGGTAATTTTGTTTTCTTCTCTCTCTTGAAGGATAATTTGTTGCAATTATAAATAGTGGAATTATGAACATCTTTATAAATACATTGTTGTGTGGTTAATAGAAAGGAATGCATTCAACTACAAGAAAAACCCAATGTGGTTTTTTTTTTTTTTTTTGTGGTGTCGGGGATTGAACTTGGGGCCTTGTGCATATGAGGCAAGCACTCGTCTAGCTGAGCTATATTTTTAATCAAATAGTGTGTTTTCTCAAGTAATCTGGAGGAATGAAGTACTGATACATGCTACAGTATGTAGAAACTTGAAAATATTATATACTTCATGAAAGAAGCCAGACACAAAAGTCATTCATAGCATGATTTCATTTATATGAAATAGCTGGAATAGGCCAATCCATAGAGATAGAAGTTGAAGAAGCTGATAGTGGTTGTGAAGGGGTTGGTTCGGGTGTGAGGAGTATAGGACTTTGAATTTGGTGAATGCATGTACCTATTAGAAGAAACAGCCTTACTACTACTTAAAAATACCTTTTTTTTGGAGCAATTTTTAGGTTCACAGCAAAATTAAATAAAAGATATGGGGATTTTTATGTACTCTATGCCCTCACACATGTATAGCCTCCCCCATTATTGACATCCCCCACCCAGTGGTGCATGTGTTAAAATCAATGATTCTACATTTAACATCATTATCACTTAGAGTGCATAGATTATATTAGTGTTCACCTTTGGTGTTGTACATTTCTGGGTTTGGAAAAAATTTTATAACGTGTGATATCATTATGGTATGGTACAAAGCAGTTTCACCAGTCTTCTGTATTCTGTCTATTCATTTCTTTCCCCCTCAACCTCTAGCTAATATTGATGTTTTTATTATTTTCATACCTTTGCCTTTTCCAGAATGTCGTATAATTGGAATTGTATAGTATGTAGCTGTTTCAGGTTGGCTTCTTATGCTTTTACCTTTCCTTGCTTGATAACTTTTCATCCTTTGGAAGCCTTTTTCTTTTTATGACCAAATAATAGTCTTAAATGAATGTTTCACATTTTGTCTATTCATCTTTGAATAGATGCACCTTATTGGTTGCATACAAGTTTTGACAGTCATGAATGAAGCTGCTATAAAATCTAAAAATTTACAGATTTTTCTGGAACATAGATTTTCAACTCCTCTCACTAAGTACCAGGGAGAGTGATTGTTGGATCGTTAGGTAACAGTGTGTTTAACTTGATAGGAAACCACAAAACTGTCTTTCAAAGTGGTGATACCATTTTACATCTCCACTAACAAATGAGAGTTCTCTTTTTGCACGTCCTCTTCAGCATTTGGGGTTCTCAGTGTTCTGGATTTTAGACATTCTAGTAGGTGTGTGGTAGTAACATATGATGTTGAGTATCTTTTTGTATGCTTTTTTGCGTCTCTGTGTATTCATTGGTTAGATCTTTGGTTCATTTTCCAATAGAGTTGTTTGTTTTCTTATTGAGTTTTAGGAAATCTTCATATATTTTTGGTAGTATCCTTTATCAGGTATTTCTTTGCAAATATTTTCTATCATTGTATGGCTTGTCTTTTCATTCTCTTGACAGTGTGTTCACACAGCAGAAATTTTGTATTTTAACGAAGTACAACTTAGAATTTCTTTCTTTCATAGTATGAACCTTTGGTGTTGTATCTAAAAAGTCCTCCCCAAACCTGTGTCATCTAGATTCTATGTTATCTTCTAGGAGTTTTATTGTTTTGTGTTTTATATTCATTCATTTATTTTTGTTTATAAAAATACATTTTTTATTTGGTCCTGGGGATTGAGCCCAGGAGTTCTTTACCACTGAGCTACATCCCCAGCCGTTTTTATTTTTATTTTGAGACAGGATCTCATTGTCCATGCTAATCTTGAACTTGGAATCTGCCTGCCTCAGCCTCCCTAGTTGCTGGGATTACAGAATTTGCAAGGTGCCTGAGTAAAAATATGTTCTTACTTTTAATTGGCACGTAGAAATTATACCTAATTATGGGGTACAGTGGGACAATTCAGCATACATATATAATATGTAATGATCAGGGTAATTGGCATAATTATTAGGCATTTATCATTTTATTGAGAACATTCAGAATCCTCTCCATAGCTATTTTGAAAGGCTTAATTAATTTCCATACCTGTGCCATGGAGTAGTAGAAGTTATTCCTCCTGTTCAGCTACACTCCTACACCTGTTAACCATCCTCTCTATGTTCCTGCACACCCTTCCCGGACTCTGTGAACCACCATTATATTCTGTATGTCTTTGACATCAGTTTTTAAGCTAGTGCATATAAATGAGAACATGTAGTACTCATTTTCCAGTGTCTAACTTACTTAGATTAATATCTTCTAGTTCTATCCATGTTGCTGCAGATCGCAACATTTTATTCTTTATGGCTGAATGGGTAGTATTTCATTGTGTGTGAACCA